CCAAAAAAGCACTTTATAAGGTACACTCAAATGTTACTTTAGAACTTGATATATAGGGCTGACCATAACTTTTGACTACTATTGCCTAACTACATTACAGAATTACTATAAAAGTAATGAAACTGGCATCTACAAGTTGAAATAAACATATATGTGTAAGATATATATATATATATTTTTTGAAATGGTAGTTACTAGTTAAATCTCATACTTAGGGAAAAAATAAGTCATTTAAAAATTAAACATAAGCTCCAAATCACCACTGGCAATAAATAAATATCCAAGATGACAGGGACCATAGCTGTTTCCTTACCATAGTATCTCTAGAATGAATGAATCCATGTGTGTGAACTGTGATGTTTCAACATCATGAATTACAAATGTAATGTAAGCGAGATCAGAGATTTTATCTTAGTCTACTAAACAGAAAAGGAAACAACTATTTCGGGATCAAAAAGCAAGTTTAGCAGTTTGAAGAAAAGGATTTTAAAAACTCAAACTAAAGGATTCGATTGTTTTCTACACAAACATGGAAAAAGTAAAATGCAAAGTAGAAATGCCCGTACTAATGACATGAACTTTACAACTACATGTTACGAAAGAGATTTTAGTTTCGTAAGATAAACTCAACGGCCACTGTACTAGATACCTTTCAGACAAAACTGGAAGGCACATGCACGACAGTCCCAAACTATGAAGTCGGGCACAGATCGTCCGACAAGTTGCCCAGAAGGTAAACTTTTCGGGGTTCTGCAGCTGGAAAAAGAGGAGGACTGTGACTGTGAGAGTCACTCCTCTGACTGGGGACCGACTCCAAGAAAAGGACGTATCTGAGTGCACACGGGGAAAGCAGAAAGGAAACGCGACAGGGCTGCCATGCTCCTAACTCCACCCTCCCCGCGCTCAGCCCGGGGAAGGCCCAGACTTGCTGGCCGCCGCCCCTCCTTTCACCCTCTTCCGAGGCCACCAAGAGGCGCCTAGAAAGGTCCTGCCGCCCTCTTCTCCCCTCCCCCAAACCAGGAGCTCAGGAGGCCCGGCGAGGTTGAGAGCTTCCGTTCCTTCCCCGCCCAAATGGGAAGGGGTGGGAAGTGGGATTGCGTGCGCTCCCAGTACGAGTCTTCCTTGTCCTCCACGCGGATCCGCAGTTCCGTTCCCACCCCAGCCCGAGACTCACTCGTCAGCCCTGCAGCCACCGCAGCCACCGCACCGGGTCCCCGCGCACCGCCACAGCCCCTACTCCAGGGCCGCCCCCCCACCCCCAGCTGCCTGCCGCCGTGGGTTCCGGGGCAGTTAGAGGAATCACTTCCGCCGGGTCACGGACGCTTTCTACGATGCGCGGGAGATTAGTGCCTGCTGAGGCGAGGACGCAGTCAATCGCCCGCTTCCGTCTACAGGAAGTGCGCAGCGCCCCCCTCCCTTCTCCTACAGTACCACTGGCCAACCTCGGGGGGCCGCGGTCATTTGCAAATCCCAACCAATCCAATTCTGGGTCTTCTGATTCCCAGCATGCAGCGACGACCCTGATCCGATTTCCGCAGGGACATCATTCTCAAAGAGGTGCTCGGGGTTCCGAAGCAGCACTGCATCCTGGGATTTGTAGTTTCTCTGGCGGCTGTTTCTCCACGGCGGCACTACACCCTGGGACTTGTAGTTTCTCACGTTGAATGTTAAGATTTTTGGTAATTTTGGAGATTGTCCAGGGGTACTCCTGGGGGTCGGAGATTATCTGCATAGAAAAGACTGAAAAGTGGGAGTGCGGTTTCTATGCTAACAAGATCGTGCTCTTTAAGAAACACCATCTGTCTTTTCATGAAAATTTGCAAGAGCATCATAACCGCTAGCGCAATCGGCTGGCCTCATTTCCTCCCTTCTCGACAGCGATTACTGAAAACTAACCACGGCCCCACCCACAGGGTAGGGGCCTTTCTCCCGCGGTACCAAACCCTCCCAGCTCCGGGTTGCTCAGCTCTCCTTGATTCTGAGATCATTCACTGAACTTCCAGTCGTCTGCCGCGGATACTGAATTCTGAGACCATCTTTGACATTCCACGCCCTCTGCCCCAGCACTCTCTCTCGCTCGTCGATCGGCCTATCCTTTTTGCTTGCTTTGCTGTGGTTAAACTCAGGCACCCTTCCAGAAAAGCTGAAACAGCTAAATAAAGTTTGCACTCTGTTTACCGGACCGTGGCAAGAAGGGAATGTAGGGCGAAGACACCATTTCAAGTTGCTCAACTAGGCGCTGTTGTGTTAACAATGTCCAACAAAGGGAAAATAGATACAAGCAAAACAAAATTTGTTGACCTAATTAATGACTTTTGCTTGAAAGACATGTTTTGTTGATTTGGCAGATAAAAGTCATTGCTTTTAACGGACAGATTTTTCTGGGTTAACTTCAAAGCCTTTGCAAAAAAAAAAAATTTAAGTTTTTGGTTTTAACGGTACCTCAGAATAGAGTTTGGCAGGGAGAGACAATGGGGTGAGGAGAGGAGGCGTGGGCCCATTTTCAATCATATTTTTCCTCCTATACTTTGAAAGTGTTGTTTTCTTCCCTTCTCTTCCTCTTTTTCTTGTTCCATCATCAGCCTCTAAAAGGATCACTATATTAGTTGCCTAGAGAATGATAGAATTTTCCACGTGAGAATACTGAGTCTAGCTAGTGCCAGATTTAGGGGTAGGATCTAGTCTAGGACTGTCTTTTCTCTTTTGTGCAAAATTTTACTGTATTTTAAAATTTTATTTATGTAGTCAGTATATGCCTATTACAAAAAATACAGATTGCAGATGTTTGATTTCTCTATGCACTTTTACATCATCATATTGTGTGCATATGATTTTGTATACTGTTAGCTTTCCAATTTAACTTACCTGTAACCAAAATCTCAACAAGCATCATTTTTAATGTCTGTATAGAATTACATCATATAAATGTTCTGTGATTCACTTAAGTATTTCCTTAAGGTTAGACATTTACCCATTTACCTTGTTTTCATTTTTAAAAATTTTTTTTAAGAGAGAGGGTGGGGGATGGGCAGAGAAAGAGAAAGACTCTTAAGCAGGCTCCACACCCAACACACAGAACTGGATGTGGGTCTCAATCTTATGACCCTGAGATCATGACCGGAGCCAAAATCAAGAATCGGATACTTAGAATGAGCCATCCAGGTGCCCCAGTCAGTATCATTCTAAAATCCCATTCAAGTAGTTTATTTTCAACAAATGTCTATATTACTAGAATTGGGAAATCTATTTAAGCATAAATAACAATTCGGTGTAATTCTATAGCATAGGATTTTCAGAATATGATCTAATTTTAGCTATTTAGAAACACTGAGAAGTAAACCAAATATTATTTTCATTTGTTTACAGAATCTGTTGGAAAAAAACTAAGCTTAACAGAAGTTAAAATTCACATTCTCTCAGTGTATTATTGAAGAAATCAATCAAGGAAGCCATTAGACTGAGATGGCTCTAATACCTTGGTAGCCTATGTATGGAAGCAAACCAAAACCTAAGCCAGAAGCAATTCCTGTAAATGTCTAAGAACAACCAATCACAAACGGCCAAGTGGATTTTCCCAAATAATGCAACAGCTTAAACTATAGCCAAATAATTTCCTTGCTTTGCTTCTTCATCTTCTCTGTAGAAACCTTGCCCTTGGCTCCTCTCAGTGGAGGACTCTTAATCACTTTCAGTTTGGTGCTGTCCAATTCGAATAAATTTTTGCTCAAATAAACCAAAAAATTTTAATGTCTCAATTTATCTTTGTAACAATATGAAAATAGTATATTAACAGACTATTTTAAACATTATCAGTAAGATGGATAATTGATGTCTGTAGTATCACACTAAACAGAAGTGTTTTTAAAATGTAAGTGGAGGGGTGCCTGGATGGTCCCTGGCGTTTGCTCACTGAGGGTCTGCCTTCAGCTCAGGTCATGATCCCAGGGTCCTGGGATGGAGCCCCATATCGGGCTCTCTGCTCAGCAGAGAGCTTCCTTCTCCCTCTGCTTGTGTTCCCTCTCGCTGTGTCTCTCTCTGTCAAATAAATAAAAATCTTAAAAATAAATGTAAGCGGAAGATAACGTTAAGAAAATGAAATCATTCATAAAGAAGCAGTATAATTTTATCCCTTTGGATACCCAGAAAAAAAGTAGACAGGATTTGGAGTTGTCAAGGTGATATTATTTTAGACTTTTAGTTTGATCCTCTCCTGTGCCAAAAGTGTCTGGAGTCAAAAACATTCTTCTGAAATAGTAAACAGAGGAGTGTGAACTAACTGGATGCTCATCCTTTAAGACTCAGGTAACCTGAAGCTTTTAGACGTGTTGAGGCCAAAATAATCATGCTGTTTTCTGGGCTTCCGAAAAATTTTGTAAATTGGTAATGGCATTATATTTTAGCTTATTTTTAGGTGTTTCCTCCACTGTGTAAGTACAGTGGATTCCCAATTTTATGCAGTATCTTTATATCCTCTGCTCCTTAGTCTTGGCAATAGGCACTCAATACCTCTTTAACAAGAATGAACAAACATAATATGGTTGAGAAGGATTCCAGAAGACAAATCTGTCAAGTATCAGCATCACACGAGCAAGCTCCATTTATTGGTTGAATTTAATTCAACCAACCCAATGGTTGAATTAAATTACCACTCATTTTTGTCCAAGTCGCATAAAATATTATTATTCTGTGCTAATAGGCTAGAATCATTTTCTAGAAAGAAAATATATTTGGGGGCCTAGAAAATGACGCCCGGGAGAATAAAAGATTTAACCCTAGCTTCCAGGCTTTATCTTTCGCGCATGGCTCTCTTCTCTGTCCTTCCACAGTCTCATAAAGAGCGCTCAAGTCTGGGAAAAGGAAGCCGCGCGCAGGCTGGGCGTTCGAGTGTCCCTGCAACTAGACGCCGGCGTGCGGTGTTCAGAGTTCTGTCCGCAGGAAACGCGCGTGGCAGGGAAAGGTGCAAGGTTACGTATTCTGCGCACGCGCGTGCGGCTAGGGGCGGAGTATGAACGGCAGGTTCCAGCTGCGGCCGGGTGAGGAGCTGGGCCTCAGGCTTCCCCGCTGTCGCCGTAGCGCCGTCTGCCGCCACTTCTCACGCGCGGGATGCTGCTGCTGGCGCTGGGCAGCTCGTGGGCGGCCGGACTTCGGCTCGGAGGGAAGAGGACGGTGCCGTGGGCGGCCGCCGCGCGGCTGGCCTCCTGTAGTGGCTCCTCGGGGCTGGTTGGCTGCGGAAGCGTGGGGCTGCGGAGAGCCTCGCCGCTTCTCGGGCGTCGGGTGCGAACGCAGGTCGGCATTCTGAAGGCCTGCGGACCGAGTGAGGGTGGACGGTGGAGGGAGCGTCGGGCCTGGGGACTCTGGTGCCGAAGGAGCCCTCTGCGGGCGCGCAGAGGCAGCCTGCTTCGGCCGCGGGAGCAGGCCAGGGGTCCCGGGGTTTACACCCACGAGTCTAGGAGTATCCGTTCGAAAGTGGTCATTTTCTGGGCGGTTCCAAGTAATTCACAGCTGGCTGCAAACCCAGCGGGTTTGTGATGACTCTCAACTATTTTCTCTTCTACCTCTGAGTGGAGGCTCGGAAGGGTTAATTTGCAACGAAATTAGATACACCACCTGGTGACCGAACTGAAAGAACTCAACCTGACTTTAAGTTTGTTCTGTTTTCTATTAGATGAGGCTATTTTAAGGAATTCTTTTGCTCCCTGGAAAAGGGGATGGAGACGTTAATCCTCTCATTTTAATCTGAATAAATTGTCTCCTAATCCTGCTCTGTAAAACATCAGAATTAGCAAACATGGTTGGAAAGTTGGAAGAAATGCCTAACATGGGAATTGGAATCTAATTAAATTTCAGCATAAAGGGATTAGGCATATCTTTTGAATTTTGAAGGGTTTAGACGTTCGGGGACCCCTTGTTCCTGTGAAATTTGATGAAGATTTCCAGTGAAATATTTTCTTAAGAGGAACTAAGGGATGCAACGAGATGAATAGGGACAGTTTCTTTCTTTCTTTTTTTTTTTTTTTAATACTAGCTATAGTATAAACATTTTAGAAATCTTAGAAACGGTCTGGACTTGAGACAGTTTACATTTGCAGTGTTTTACTTACATTATATTAACATCAATTTTTTGAAAAGTAATGCATTTAAAATTTTGACAATGGAACAAGAGTAATGTTTTCATTTTAACCACAGAATGAATTATTCCACCAAATTTTTTTTTACTTGTTCGAGGCCACACTTTATCTAAAAGCTTTGAGCTGGGATGCAAACCTAGGTTTTCAAAAAAACACTATTTGTGACTGGAGTTAAGGACAGCTATTTTGTTAGTTTGATTTCTTCAGCTCTGTGGATTATTTGGGAGAATTCCTTAAATCACCTCATGTGACAAGTTCTCTTTTACTCTTCATTATAATTTAAAAAAGTTAAAAAAATTAAAAGGTCTAAAATGCACTTTATTATGTACTCACATTATAATGGTCTCTGTTTCAATAGATACCTCTTTGTTGGGAAAGATGGGTTCAGTGCTTACATACACAGCTTGAAAAATCAGAAGATGGAAGGCTGATTTATACTGGGAATCTGGCGAGAACAGTATTTGGTGGGTAATCAGAAGTGAGGGTAATTTCCTTTTTAACTCCCCTTTTAGTTGTAAAAAATGTACTTAGGATATGTTATCTCTTATTTTAACATCTCTTAATTGCAAGATATGAGGAAAAATTAGGTTATGTATTTTTTTCTTGTGGCCTGTTGAATCAAGATTGAGAGGTTGAGGGGCGCCTGGGTGGCTCAGTCGTTAAGGGTCTGCCTTCAGCTCAGGTCATGATCCCAGGGTCCTGTGATTGAGCCCCACATCAGGCTCCCTGCTCAGCAGGAAGCCTGCTTCTCCCTTTCCCACTCCCCCTGCTTGTGTTCCTGCTCTCACTATTTCTCTTTCTGTCAAATAAATAAATAAAATCTTCAAAAAAAAAAAAAAGATTTAGAGGTTGGGACCTTTGCATTTTTAGGAGATTTTCAAAAGATTTTTTAAGACTGTTAGGACTTTTTGATCTTATTGCTGGGTGCTAAAGCTTACATCCTTTGGTCACTTCCCAAGATGTTTAACAACAAAATAGAACAAGAAGTGTATATTTGTGTAATGTTTGAATATGGAGAGAAAAAATATGGAAGTATACCTCTTAAGAGTAGTTTTTTTGGGAGGGTACACATTTACTTTGCATATTTTTAAATTTGGCAGTTAAAATAAGCATATAATACTTTTATAATTAAAAAATATATTTTTTACATTTTTTAGGTCACCTTGGCATTTTCAAGAAACATCTTCATTTAGTGGCTTTTCAAGGTGGTGTAGAGTACTAGAGAAGACAAAGACAGATTATTATTATTATTAAAGAAGAGAGTACAGAGGGAGGGAGAGAAATAGACCCCCGCTGAGCAGCAAACCCGATGATGATGCCGATGCTGGGCTTGATCCCAGGATCCTGGAATCATGACCTGAGCAGAAGGCTTAACTGATTGAGACACCCAGGCGCCCAAGACAGTGTATTAAACAGCTACAAATTTGAAGCTCTTTCCTTAGTTCTTAATTTGGTATTTAGTATGGAATGATTTATTATGAAGGTCAGAAGAACTTAGATATGTGTTTTGTTCAAGTTCCTGAGATTGTAGTTCATTTCAGTAATCTTAAAGTATAACCTGAAATATCTGAAGGATTGCTTTATAGTCAAATCGGCCACAAGATTTCAGCACCTGCATTTGCATTCCTGTTTTTGGTTATGCTGGTGTCACTGATCATCTAAAATTTACTCTGGAAATCCATATGTTCTCAAATATGTGGCATCAAAATAGACTGTTTAGAATATAATTTTAGGTATTTAAAACTTTGGCAATAAGGACTTACTATAATCACTATTGAGAGGAGTTCTGAAGTTACTGGAAAAATCCATTTTGGTGATTAGAAATTTCTTCAGAAGTCAGTACATGAGTAGGCCATTGAGCTTATGTCACATCTCTGGCCTGGGCTACCTGGATTTATACTATTGGGAGGTGTTAACAGTGACACCCATGATACCTTTCCTTCTGAACAGACACGGTTCCTTCAGATGCAGGGAAGGCTTATTAATTTATTTCTTATTTGCATTTGACTCCATTCTGTAAAGAAGAGACTATAAATAGGAATTAATTTTGGTGTGGGTAGGATGTTATGGTTGTAGAAGAGCATAGCTATTCAAGCTATTCAAAGTTCTAGAAATATAACTTGTATAGGAGTTTAATGTTTGAGTTCTTTCAATACTCTGTACCTTATTCAGGGATTACTATTTTTTCTATGTAGAAACTGAGGGAGAAACTTTTTTTTTTATGTAAAACTGAGTGAGAGACATTAGGATAGAGGTACCATGCTTGGAGATTCTTTAAACTACTGAATGGGGCCTCGTTTAAAGACATTTCAAGGGTCTTTTAGTTGATAGTTCTTGTTAATTCATCCATAAGTGATTACTGATATCATAGTATTATTGTAGGATGAGTAGAATTTGAACATGAAGAGGTGTGAAAGAAGGGCATCTCAGGCATGGCAGTAGTACGAGCAAAGACATGAAGATGGGAGAGCCCAGAATATGTTTAAAAAATAGTTATTTGAATCTAGGCAAAATAAAGTACATGTATGTATTAGTTTCCTTAGGCTTTTGTAATACATTTCCACAAAGTTGGTGACTTAAAGCAACAGAAATTTGTTCTCACAGTTCTGAAAGCTAGAATTCTGAAATCAGGGTGTTGATAAAGGCTATGTTCTCTCTGAAGGCTCTAGGGAAGAATTCCTTGCCTCTTTGAGCTTCTGGAGGCTTTCAGCAATCCTTTGTGTTCCTTGGCTTATGGATCCATAACTGCATAACTCCAATTTTTGCTTCCTAATTCAGATGGCCCTCTCTGTGTCTGTTCTGTTCTGTCCTTATAAGGATATTGTCATTGGATTTATGGCCCACCCTATTCCAGGATGATCTCAACTCAATTTTTTATTATCTGCAAAGACCCTACTTCCAAATGACGTCATATTTGGAGGTTCTGGGTGGACATGAATTTTGGGGCACACTTTTCAACCCACCATAGTGTACCAAAGTCATGGGGAAAAAGGAGATAGTTGGAAGGACTCAGGAGGCTTTATATAGGAGGCATCTTGGTCCCCATTGTATCTATGTTGTATTGTATGTGTACTGGTGTCATAGCAACTACCTGTGGGAGGCAGGAAGGAATTATTTTTAAATTACTGATGCAGGATAATTAAGCCTTCAACCAATTGCAATGTACGAGAGTGTGTTACAGTCTTACCAACAGAGTATGTTGTCAAACTTTTAGTTTTTTGGCATCTCACTGTGCTTTTAATTTCATGTTCTTACGATTGAAGTTTATTAACATTTCATCTGTTTAAGGACCATGTGCATTTTTGGTTTAGTGAACTGTCTGCTTATATTTCTTGCATGTGTGTGGATAGGGTTGTTGATCTTTTTCTTCTCACATACTGGAAACCTTTTATATGTTGGGGGTATTAACCCTCTGTGATAGAGGTTGCAGATAGTTTTCTCATTTGTCTCTACTTTGTTTATGTCCATGTACATTTATAATGTAATCAGATTTACCGGTCTTTCTCCTTGATTGCTTCTGTGTTTTCAGTCATAATTAGAAAAGTTTTCCCATTCTCAGATTATAAAGACTTCATGCATGTTTTCTTATAGCTTCATGATTTTATTTTTTACATTTAAATCTCCAGGTAATTTGGAATTTTCCTGGTAGATGATATGAGGGATGGATTGAATTTTATTTTTCTATATGGCTATTCAGCTGTCCCAACACCACTTTTGCCCACGTATTTGAGATTTTTTTTTTAAAGATTTTATTTATTTATTAGTGAGAGTGTGTGCGGAGGAGCAGAAGGAGAGGGACAGGCAGACTCCGCACTGAGCACGGAACCCTGCACGGGGCTCAGTTTCATGACCCTGAGATCGTGACCTGAGCCAAAATCAAGAGTCGGACACCGGACCTACTGAGCCACCCCGGTGCCCTGAGATTATATCTTGATACTAAATTTTCATATGCGGTCAGGTTTATTTCTAGATTTTCCATTTTGTTCCATTGATCTGTTTATTTGTGCACCAGCACCACACCATTTTAATTACAGTCTTATGTTTTAGTACCTAATTCCTCTCCCCACCTTTTTTTTCTTCTTTTCTTTTTCCAAATTAACTTTGTAATCAACTTGGCTGGGATCTCAACTTGTCTGTTTTCTGAACAGATGGTGTTTTTGTTGGGATCATGTTAAAATTATACAATCAAACTAAGAGAGATTTACATTTTAAGTCATTTATTTATTGTGGTAAAATATGCATAACATAAAATTTACCATCTTAACCGTTTTTAAATATGCATTTGAGAAGTCATTGATTTTTAATCTTTTTAATATGACAGGTAAAAAAAATATCTCACTGTTTTAACTTGAGTGTCTTTTCTTGGTAAAGAAGTTGAATATATTTCCCACATATTTCTTAACCACTGGTGTGTTTTTTGGTAATTTGCTGTTTTAATCCTAGGCACTTAGTCTAATAATGTTAGTCTCATATTTAAACATTTAATGTTAAGCATGTGGAAGTGCTTGTTAATAGAAGGTTTTATTTAATAATCTGCTAACTGAATTAACATTTATAATATGCATAAGGATCTTTGAGTAATGTGAAGTCTTTTATTGGGGAACTGAGGTGGAGGCCAGTTAACCCTAAAGCAGATTTCCTACATGGAGAGGCAGAGCAGTGTATTGGCCAGTGGCCTGGACGCTGGAGTCAAATTGCCTGTATTTGAATCCCAGTACTGCCTGCCTCTAGGTAGCTTTGTGACATTGAGCGAGTGCTTTGTTTTTCTCATGTCTTAACATGGGAGTGAGGATGATAATCATGCATCTGTTGCATAGTGCTTTTTTAAAGATGTTATGAATAAAATCTATAAGGATGTAAAGTACCTAAAACAGCTTGGAAAATAATCACTATATATGTGTTTTGATTTTGTTGTTTTGATGATGATAGAAGAAAGGTGGAAGAATTAATTGAATAGATTGATGCTTTTATAAAATCTATAAATATTAATACTGTCCTTTTTTTTTTATTTCTTGTTTAGGTGTGAAATGTTTCTCTTATTCGACAAGTGTCATCAGCCTTGCATTACTACCATACATTTTTGCGCAAAACAGTATTATATTTGGAAGTCTGCCTTTGCAAATATTATTTTATGGCATCATAGGGAGCTTTACCATGATCACTCCAGCACTGCTTCACTTTGTTACAAAAGGCTATGTCGTTCGGCTGTACCATGAAGCTACAACAGACACTTATAAAGCCATTACTTACAATGTTGTGCTTCTAGAAACGAGTACAGTGTTTCACCAGAATGACGTGAAGATTCCAGACAGCGCACATGTGTTTACCACATTTTATGCTAAAACGAAATCACTGTTAGTTAATCCAGGGCTCTTTCCAAACCCTGACGATTATAACCATCTAATGGGTTATGACAAACCATTCACTTTTGATATGGAAGAAGACAGTGAGAAAAAACAGGTTAAAGATGAGAAATGAGTCTTGTTTTTTAGGTTTGTGCTTAAATGTGATTTATGTTCCAATGTATAATAATGAAATTGCCTTTACTTTTGTTTTCTGTTAGTGACTGATTAAAAATAATTTGAAACTGTATCAACTTTTAATTTTCAGAGAATTATGTTCCTATATAATAAATATGCTGTGTTTGAAAAACAAATCATGTAATATTCTACCATTTGTGTTTTTAAAAAAGTGTGAAAATACATGTTCATGCTGGCATAAGCATGGATAATTTTATATAATAATTGTGGTTGTCTCTAGGCTGGGGATCAGGTGTCAGAAGCAGATGGGAGAGTTGTTTTTCCTTTACGTTTGGATTTTTCTAGGTGTATAGATACTAACTTTGCCCACATTAAAAACTGTTTTTAAAAATTCTAAAATTATGGGAAGCAGTGTTAATCTTCCTTGGGTTCACAGGTTTTTGCTTATCTTTTCGGGCATAGTTGCACATAATAAGGATCTCCATGTCCAGTTGAGTGTGGTAGCTACCTGTGTTAAATAGTGATGGTGAAATGGTGACCTAAATAGTGATGTCTTTGGTGGCAGTCTTCTCCCTTGCGTATCCTATCAGAGTTGGAAGATCATAGTTACTAAATAGATGGACAGTAGTTTTTATAAAATCACAATCTCTGTGCTAATTTTATGAAGTCCTGGAATTTTAAGATTTTTAACCTCTAATTGTAAAATGAAAATTGGTTCTTGTGAAGGATATTCGGCAAGGAGCAGAAGGCCTCAAGTCATGCTATTTAGATTAGTAGCTAACTTATTAAGTGCCCAGTGTGTGCCTGATACTGTGCTAGTAGTTAGAGTCATAGTTAAGAACAAAACACCCAGGGGCGCCTGGGTGGCTCAGTCGGTTAAGCATCTGCCTTCCGCTCAGGTCATGATCCCAGGGTCCTGGGATCGAGCCCCATGTCAGGCTCCCTGCTCAGAGGGGAGCCTGCTTCTCCCCCTTCCTCTGTCCTACCCCCTGCTCGTGCTCTCTCTCTCTCATTCTTGCTCTATCTCAAATAAATAAAATCTTAAAAAAAAAAAAAAGAACAAAGCACCCAGTCTCTGTGGAGCTGTCTAATGTATCCTATTATCTGCCATGATGGTAAATCTTATCTTTATGGCTTACCTGTGTGTGAGGAAGGTTGATGGGAAAGCACCAGAAACATGAGTTCATAGACAAAGATCAGGTCTGAAGCTGCTAGAGGCTTATAGGAGAGACCATGAGGTAGAAAAGTGCCCCCCTTTCTGAGACCTAGAGCCTGCCCTCTGCTAGGATCAGCCAACTTGTGATCCTAGCAGAAGGCGGGCTCTAGGTCTCAGAAAGATGAACAAACGGGTGTCATCCTCATCTTCAGTTTGGGCCTCTGCCTGCCTGTTCCTCAGTTCTGCGTCACCTATATATATACCTGTTGCTATCTTTCTATAAAAAAATTTTCCATGGTCAAATGTTGATCAGATATTAGTAGAAGCAAGAAAAAAAATCACTCTTAGTTCCATTCCTAGAAGAAAAAACAGCTTTGTTAATATTTTAACGTTTTCTTCCAAGGGTCAGTTTCTTCATAACTTGTTCTGACTGTATCATATCTTTCTTTAAATGTCCTGTATCCATATAACCATTATGTCACCTGTGTAGTGGAATGAAAAACCTGTTTTTATTAGTATCAGAATAGTTCAGAAGACAACTTGGTTGTTTAGGGAAAAGAAAAAAAGCTTAAAATACTAAGTGAGAAAGATGACTTCTCAAGTGCATGGTCTGGAGCAACACCAAGAAGTAGAAAAGGAACAGTATGTGTAGAATATGATTCATCACTGAAATAAGTCAGCAGAAACAATTCAGGCCAAGGTGAGGGGGAGAAATTTACACACATCCCTCTATGCCACTTTACTACGTTCACCACAGGTGGAGTAAAATCTTGGAAAGGTTAGGGAGGTGAGGAGTCTCCCACTATCTATAGGAAGGGCGTTGAGTCAGTTTTGAGTCTCAAAGGCAGGGTGATCCTGCCCTAACATCTGGATTATATCAGGTAATACACCCGTTGATAATAAAATGTTTTGTAATCCCTTTTCTAAACCTCGATTTCATTATCCTGAAAGACTTCAGCTTTTAGAAGCAAAAGTAACAAAGTGGCCATTAGTTCTAAATGATAGCCTTAGCTTGGACACAATTTTAAAAAATTGTATTCTGATTTTTTCAGGTACTTTTGTTGTTGGCTTCCTTTTTGTAGAGAATTTCAATCATTCAAAAGTAGAAGAGTACGATGAATCAACATGACTGTCATTCAGATTCAACAAATAACAGTTTGTTGTCAATATTGTTTGATTTAGACCCCAACCACTTGCCCTCTACTTTTATTTGGAAGCAAATCCCAGACATCATAACATCTCTTTCTTAAATGTTTTGTAACTCTACCAGATAATGACTTAAAAAATATAACTATAATAACATAATACCCAAACCACTCCCCTCTCCCCAAAGTTATCAAGGATCCAGTCTGTTCAAATTCCAATTCCTCCCCACATGTTGTTTGGATTAAGATCTAAGTAAAGTACATGCCTTATTCACACCAATTAATGAAATTTCTTTTAAGACTCTTCTATGGGCCCCTCCATTTCTTTCCCTTCGTTTTTTTCTCCCTTGTAAATCATCTGTTGAAGAAATGGAGTTCTTTGTCCTTTACATCTTTTTGTGGTCTAGATTTTCTGATTGTATCCCTGAGGTATAGATTAACATGTCTCTCTGTCTTCTGTATCTCCTATAAATTGGTAGTAGGACTTGAGGCTTCATCAGATTGATATTTGATTATTTTGGATAAGACTAATTCATAGATGATGTTGCTTATATTAACTATTGTTGCATTAACAAATTGCCCCCAAAAGTTAGAGTTGTTTTTTTTTATTTTTTAGACTTATTATTTGAGAGAGAGAGAGAGTGTGTGTGAGCGAGCAGGGGGAGGGGTAGAGGGAGAGGCAGAGAAGCAGACTTCCCACTGAGCGGGGAACCTGACCCTGGGCTGGATCCTAGGCCCTGAGATCATCACCTGAGTTGAAATCTAGAGTCAGTTGCTTAACTGTCTGAGCCACCCAGGTGTCTCAAAAATTAGAGGTTTAAAACATAATACTGCATGGTGCCTGTTGGTCCAGTATCCAGGAGGGGCTTAGGTGAATGCTTCTGGCTCAGGTTCTCTCATGAGATTGCAGTCAAGCTATCACCTGGTGCTGCTGTCATCTGAAGGTTGAACTGGGCCAGGAGGGACTGTTTCCAAGGTGGCTCGCTCACATGACTGACAAACTGGTGCTGGCTTTTTGGTGAGAGGCCTAGTTTCTCACCACATGGTTCTCTCTTTAGGGCTGCTTACTTCCCCTAGAGGAACAGATCAGAAGAGCAGAATGGAAGCCACAAGGATGTATTTTATCCACCTTGGAAGTTGCACACTGTCATTATGCAATATTTTATTAGTTACAGAATCAGCCTGATTCATTGGTGGAGGAGATTACACAAGGATTTGAATACTAGGAAGTAAGGATCATTGGGAGCCATCTTGGAGGCTGGCTAGCACAGGGTTCATCCACCAAGAAGTTCACAAAGTCTTTCTCTCTCTCTCTTTGTGAAGTTAGCAACCACTGATGCTCGGTGCTTAAGCTCAGTAATTCATTAGGTGTTGCAAAATGGTTATGTTCTATTTTTCCTTTTTTCATATATTAGCTGAATACTTCTAAAAATAGATAAAAGAGTATAAGGAGGCAAGGGAAAATTGTCCCATCTACTATCTGGTTACCGGTAGTTCAGTTTCTATAGAAAAGTCAGGATAAATGCTTGATTCTTTCCCTTTATTAGTTTTCAAAAGAGTTGACTTCTTAGCATCATCTAATGATTAATTAGACTTTTAAAATATTATGAGCTCAGGGCGCCTGGGTGGCTCAGCTGGTTGAATATCTGACTTGGTTTTCAGCTCAGGTTCTGATCTTAGCATTGCGAGATCAAGCCCCGCATTGGGCTCTGCACTCAGTGCAGAATCTGCTGGAGATTCTCTCTCTCCTCTTCCTCTGTCCCCCATCCCCCCCACTTGTGCTCACTCTCTCCCTCTCTCTCAAATAAATAAAATCTTTAAAAATTTTTTTTATGAGCTCATAGTTTTAAATATATTTGGTGTATTTCAGTTCATTGTAGTTACTATCTTAATGTTTGTATAGTCTACAAGTAGGTTGGATAAGGGTCCCCCAAGAAATTCATGTCTGGAAACAATGTTAAATTGTATGACAAAAGGGATTTTATAGATAGATCTTGGGGAGATTATCCTGGATTATCCAAATGGTTCTAGTGTAATCACAGGGTTCTTATAAGAAGGAGGCAGGAGGTCAGAAGAGGTAATGTGATGATGGAAGCAGAGAGGGGAGTGCTGAACTTTGAAGATGTAGGAATACATGGGTTGCAGTTCTCTAAGATGAAAAAGTAAGGAAACAAGTTCTTCCCCCAGAGTCTCCAGAAGGAACCAGCTCTGCTGACACCTTGACTTTGGCCCAGTGAAACTGATTTCAGACTTCTGACCCCCAGAACTGTAAGAGAATACATTTGTATTGTTTTAAGCCCCTAAGTTAGTGGTTAGTCATTACAGCAGCAATAAGAAACCCATCTTTGGTCACTGGGAACTGTCTTCATATTGGTTATCTAATATGCTAAGGTGTTCCAGGCTCCACTTACACATTTTCTGCCCCATACCTGGAATCAGCAATTTCTCTAGAGTCTTTGTTCCTTTTAGTGGGAAAATGGTATTTTTGAGACCACTAGGGGCATTCATAGGTTTTTCTTCTTCTTCTTTTTTTTTTTCATTTCTTAAATGTGGTAAAAAATATATAATATAAAATTTACCATCTTAACCAATTTTAAGCACAAGTTCAGTAGTGTTAACTATATTTACATTGCTGTGCAACAGATCTCTAGAACTTCTCATCTTCCAATCCTGAAACTCAGTACCCATTAACAACTTCCATTTCCCCATCCTCCCACAGATTTTTGCCTTTCTAAAAATGGGAAAGTAGCATAGTTCTTTAGTGGAATCTTTTACCAACATATGATTATTTTCCTCTAAACTTGTAGATTTTTAGGCCCTGACTCCATGCTATTTTTATTTCTGGCTACTAATCCCAAACTATGTCCTACAAAGGATTTTAAGTAGCAAAGTATCTAAAAGATGAGCTATTTTTCTAGAACAGAGTGAGAAGTTTGAAATACATGCCACATGCAAAATAATGACCGTTTCATTATCAGGGCTCAAAATACCTATACTTTGCTTAAGTAGGTGCATTCTCAAGCTTGGTGTGGTCCCCGCCCACAATGCAAAAGTATAGCTAATAGCCCATGTCTGCAGTCTCATCTAGTCTGGCTCTGCCCTGTGGCTGCACCTGTTGCAGAGCAGAAATAATTTGCATCATACTATTCAGTTCAGACCTAGAGGTCCAGCTCCCTGAGCCATGAGAAATTGTTGTATAAAAAATTGTTGTATAGGGGCACCTGGGTGGCTCAGTCGTTGGGCGTCGGCCTTCGGCTCAGGTCATGGTCCCAGGGTCCTGGGATTGAGCCCCGTGTTGGGCTCCCTGCTCAGCGGGAAGCCTGCTTCTCCCTCTCCCTCTCCCCCTGCTTGTGTTCCCTCTCTCGCTGGCTCTCTCTGTCAAACAAATAAAAAAATGTTTAAAAAAATTCTTTAAAAAAATTGTATAAAAAATTGTAAAAAGAAAAAAAAGAATAGCAATGCAGATGGAAAAGGAGTGGCAGTCTGTTGGGATTCTAAAGGAGACCTACAGACTGGTTTTGTTACTATTGACCAGGAAGTACCTTGTTTTGTTTTTAAAGTTCTGTGTTCTTATTTGCATTACATGTTCTAGAAGAATATATTCTAAATCATTTTCCTCTTTCCCCTTGCCGGAAGTGCTCGAATACTAAACACATACACTCAAAAGAGGAAACTCAGGAACTCAGAAATCAGGTGACCAATGACTAAGTTAAATCTTTTCTGCTTACTGAAAGGGAAGAGTCTGATGATTAGTTGCCGATTCTCCTTGTATTTTTAAAGTTTTGGAGATACTGAATCATGTTCCCATTTCTGCTTTTTTCCACTCTGTTTTCTTCCATATTCACTGAACCTGGGCAGCAACATTGGATCTGCAACTCCTCTGATTCCAGTGTTTGGTATACCTATTGTGGTAAGTAAAACAGCAACAAGTGGTTCAGGGTAAGTTTTCATAAGAACTTCACGCTGCTGTGGAGGCGACACAGGAAACGACAGTGTGTTCCCACTGCCGCTGCTGGTGGAAAGGTGATGGCTGGTTGCTGTCCTTTGTGGATTTTCTGGATCCTTCACAGACCTCACAAGTCTCTAAACTGTGTTGTACTTGACCTCCGAGCGTTTCTGTTGTTCTCTGTGGTCAACTCTCTCCTCCTTGAGCCCAGTTTCAGATTCTTTCCAGTTTTGGCAGAACTCTTTGCTTCTGAGCTTTTGCCTCAGCCCCAAGACTTACTGGTTCTTCTTGAGAAGGTAGAGTAGTCCTAGCTGCCTTTTGGAATTGATTATTGCTCTGGTATGTGATTTTTTTTTCCTTCAGCACAGCAGTGGGCCTATAACAGCTTCTTTATAAGTGTTTGAGGCAGTGACTTTTGGGGAGTCTGGGAATGATCTCCCTAATTGGATATTAGCCTGGTTCTGTCAGTTACTAGCTGTGTGACCTCGAGCAAAAAGTACTTAGCTTCTCTGTGTCCCAGCTGTTTTGTCTGTAAAATGAAAGTGATTTTTTTAATGTGGGGAGGGGCAGGGGGAGAGAGTGAGAGAGAATCTCAAGTAGGCTCCACGCCCAGCGTGGAGCTGAGGCAGGCCTTGATCTCATGACCCTGAGATCAGCCATACCCTTATGCTATTAACTAGCTGTATCACTGTTTTTTTGTTTTTCCTCCCTATTTCTCTACAGATGTCTGCAGTCTGAAAGCACAGCATCAGGGCTAGACTGCAGTTGTGGTTTGGTATTTTCCACTGGTTTGCTCATCATGGGTTGACTGGTCTTTTCTACCCATTAGTGGTATCAGGAAGGTTTGATGCTTCCGAAAATGCTAGCTCCTTAAGATTCTATTGGGAAAAAGGACTGATGGTCTAATCCTTGGGGGAGATTTACAAATGTACTTTGAGTTCTGAGAAGTTCTGTAAGAAAGAAACCTATTTAATCCCCAGATTTTCAATTTTATTTTATTTTATTTTTTGAGTGTGTGTTGACTTCTTGAAAAACACACTCTGGCAAATGCTAATATAAAGTTACTTCCAGGGAATTAGCGTAATTGCCAGGTATAAGAACAAGACTTAGCCGTGTGACCAATCTTACACTTGTGGCTTTTTTCCTATATGTGGATTGTAACTGAATTCCCTTGCAACTTATCTCTGAAATTTTTCCATCCTGTAAGGTCAGTATACCTCTCCCCCTCCAGGAAGCCTCCCTAGCCCACTCTACCGCCAAGTGTCTCCTTTCTTTTGGCTTTTATGTACCTTCTATTTAAAAAAAAAAAAAAAAAAGATTTTATTTTTAAGTAATCTTTACACCCAACATGGGGCTTGAATTTACAATCTCAAGATCAAGAGTCACATGCTGGGGCACCTGGGTGGCTCAGTCAGTTGAGCATCTGACTCTTGATTTCGGCTCAGGTCATGATCTCATGGGTGGTGGGATCGAGTCCCACATCTGGGTTCTGTGCTCAGCAGGGAGTCTGCTTGAAGATTCTCTCCCCCTGCCCTTCCCACACATTCGCTCTCTCTCTCTTTCTCAAATAAATAAAGCTTTTAAAAAAGAGAGAGAGTCACACGCTCTACCTACTGAGCCAGCCAGGTGCCGCAATTATGTCACCTTCTCTGCACCATGTTGCACATGGCCTTTATTTATATTACACTTCCTATTATTATTCAAGCTTTTAATCTTTTAGTAACAATAATCTGATTTATCTTTTGATCTTTGAGGGAGGATCTTACGCCTTTCTGTCTAATGCTGGGAAATCCTGTGGTCCTTTCCTGCTGCCCCCTGCTGTAGGGACTGAGGGGAGCAAGCTACAGCACAACCCTGCTTGGGGCCATGGCCACCGCCATGTCCTTATCTTCCCTACCTTAGAGAATCTATCCTGGCTGAGCTCAAAAACGGGTGTGTCGGAAGCACTGATTCCTGTAGGTATTCCTGTGGAGCTGGTGGTACACCACCACCTGATTTAGTCTTTCCGAGAGGGTGAATTGCGTTTGGTGAACCTATGGGGTATTTACAGTGTATCGGTTTGCTAGGACTGCCATAACAAAACACCAGAGACTGGGTGACTTGATAGAAATTTATTTCTCACAGTTCTGGGAGCTGGAAGTCCAAGATCAAGGGTCAGCAGATTTGTTTCCTTCTTCCTTGCAGATGGCCACCTTCTTGCCATGTCTTTATATGGTCTTTTCTCTGTGTGCACTCATGCCTGGCACTCCCTGTGTGTCTAAATCTCCTTTTCTTGTAGGGACAGCGATCATATTGGAGTAAGACCTCACCCTAACAGTTTCTTTTTAACTTAATCTCTTGTTTAAAGACCAAATCTCCAAATATAGTCACATTGTAAGGTACTGGGAGGTTAGAATTTCAACATATGAATTTGGTGGGGGTGGGAGGGGACACACAATTCAGTTTATAATCTACAGAAATGGCAAGAAGTAGCTGTGTGTTCCTCAACTTTGGAAAAGGCAGAAAATGTGGGTGTCCGTGTCAGTCCATAAGACCCTGGACACATGCCCTCTTGTAAACTAGAATCATCAGACTCAGATTCGGTTCTAGCCCTTTTTTTTTTTTTTTTTTTTTTGCTATAGGTAGTCCAGAAACCCAAGAATTAATGGATCATTTAATTAAACCAATATTTACTGAGCATCTAGCCTGTCTGTTCTAAGCACTGAGGATATTATATAGTAGTGAACAACAAAGAAAAAAGTCCCTGCCCTTGTGAAGTTTTTTTTTTAAGACTTATTTATTTTTTGAGAGAGAGAGAAAGAGAATGGGTGGGGGGAGGAGTAGAGGGAGAGGAACAAGCAGATTCTGCCCTGACCACCAGAGATCACCACCGGGGCCTAATCAAGAGTCTGACATTTAACTGACTGAGCCACCCAGGCGCCTCCTCGAGGAGTTTTTATCAGTAAAATATTCAGCATGTCAGACAGTGGTAATTTCTGTGAGAAAAAAGTAGAGCAGGGGAGGGGACAGAGAGCAGAGATGGGGAATGCATCCCCTTTATAATGGGGATGCATTATAAAGTCGGATGACCAAGGAAAGCATCCCTGGGAAAGTGACATTTAGTAAACACCTGGAATAGTTGAGGGAGTGGGCCATGCAAGATATCTAAGGGAAGAGGTAGAGCAAAGAGCGAACACAAAGGCCCTGATGTGGGACATGTCTGGTGTGTTGGAAGGATAGTAAGACGTCCAGTGTGGCTGCAATGGAGTGAGGGAGGGGAAGGCAGTAGAAGATGAGGTCATAGAAAGAAATGGGGGGAGGGGGGCCTTGTAGGTCAGGGGATGGCTTATCTTCCACTGCGAGCAAGGCTTGGTCTGGCTCTTGTGTTGATGATAATCCATAACGGGGCGCAGGTGGAGGAGGAGATGTGTTGTGAGGCTGAGGCTGTTGCACAGTACTCCAGGTGAGAGAGATAATGGTGACTTGGACCAAAGGAGCTATGGTGGAGGTGATGAGAAGGGGTCAAATTCTGGAAGGAATCTGAAGATGGAGCTGACAGGACTAGCTGACAGATTGGGTGTGTGCTTGCAGCATGGCTCTCCAAGCTAAGCAGGTATATCCCTGTGTCTTGGTGTTCCCCCCTCTGAATGGGCCAGCCTCTTCACTGGCCTTTAGTTGTACCTCTTCTGTTCACTAACTTAAAATATCCTGTCTGTTTCATGCCAACTTTTTGTGGTCCATTAAAGTCCTACAGAGCATGTCAAGTCAAGTCAGCTGAATTTTATTTAGTTTAACAAGCTTTATTTAATAGGCATTGAGTTTAGTTATTATGTTAAGGAACACTTAGAATGCAAAGGATATGTGAGATACAGCCAGAACCTCAAGGAACTTCTGGCTTTTGTCTCATGTGTAGCAGGGGGAGTAACTGTAACATGAGGATTCATTCATTTATTCTATGAGCTCAGCGTGGCCACTGGGAAGCCCAATAGCCATTTGGAGCTAGAACTCTTGACCTATGCCAAGCTGAGCCCGCTTCTTCCTATCTTTCCCATTGCATCATATGATCTTTTGATTCTTACATCTAATTATTTTTTGTATGTTGGTCTTGTCTTCCCAGAAAAATCATAGACTTCCTGATGTGAAGACTAAGCCTCATATCTCTGTTCTCCACTCTCTAATACCCCTGCCCTCTGCCCAACCTGGGGTATCCTTTAATTATTTCTTTTCCTTATCCCCCACATTCATTGTGTTGATGATTCCCATTTTAACTATCTCCAGAATATGTTCTTAAGCCAGCTACTTCTCACTGTCCTCTACTCACCACTCATACCCCCCATCTCTCCTCTGGCCTCTGCAGGAGCCTCTCAGATTGTCCTCTCTCTACTTCGATTCTTGTCCCCATACAACCTGTTCTTGGCCCAGAGACCGGGGAGGTCTTTTGAAAATGCAAATAAGTCAGGCAATGTCACTCTCCTTGCTTAAAGCTTTCCAGTGGCTTTTCACTATAATTAGAGTGAAGTCCCAATTTTATACCAAGACGTCCAAGACCCCTCCAGATGGCCCCTGCCCACTTGTCTGATCCCTGTGATTCCCACCCACCCTCTCTCATTATTTGCCATCCACACTGGCCTTTATTATTATCATTGTTTATATTACCAACATAACACACATCAAAGTTTCCCTTTTAACCATCTTTAAGTGGATAGTTCAATGGCACTGAGGACATTCACAGTGTTGTGTGATCATTACCACTATCCCTTTCCAGCATTTTCATAATCCTGAACGGAAACTCTGTACCCATTAAACACTAATTCCCCATTTCTCCCTCCCTCTAGTTCCTGGTAATTTCCACTCTACTTTCTGTCTCTGTGAACTTGCTTATTCTAGTTACCTCATATAATGGTCTTTGTGGGTGCATGTTTGTGTGTGTCTGTATGTGCATGTTTTTGTTGTTGTTGCTTGAACATATCAAAGTCATCTCACCT